CAATAAAAACGATTTGATTATGTAGCAACAGACTAATTACTTAATATCTTAACTTTGCTGATAATATAAGGGGGTATCGCTAATTTAAAGTATTGTTACAGTATGGTATGATGAGCGTCATTTATCTAACTGACAGAAATTAGTGTCCTTACTAAATTATTTTGACGCTAATTAATATTAAAACATCTCACCTTTCAAAACGGCTTCAGTCAAACTCAGTAAATCCCAACACAGAGACAGGAAACATGTCATAAACAACGAAACAAAATAGTAAACAAATAGTAAACAACCGTTCCTCGTTGTCTTCTTCTGACACATTTCAATGGCGGTTGACAAACCAACTTCAGATGTATTACCGCCACCTACTGGACTACAATGAAATAAGTTCATGGTCAGAAGAACTTAAGAAACAAATACTGATTTTGCTATTTATTTAATATTATATTCTAAATCATATTTTTTAATAACATCATTTAAAAGCAGTTAATTATATATGTTTGTATTTGGCCTGCCCTTTGTCACAATTGAATAGATATGACTTAACTGTACGAACTCAACTGCTCTGATACTATAGTAAATACTGTACAGTTCTATGAATACTATAATAAATATAGTAATGTGTATTACACGTTTAATATTATAGTATTTGCCATTGGTTCTGATTTTTTGGCACTATATTTTCATTAGACCTATTTTGACTGCTATGTCATCATAATTTGTGAAAATAACCCATCAAAGGTTTGAAGAAAACGCACAATATGACATAAGTGAAGACAAATTTCACTATTGACCGACTGTTGTTAAATAAAAAAAAACATTTTACAAGTAGCCTAACTTTTATTTTAAATCTTGATCTTATTCTTGAGAGATAAAAATGACCAATGAAAAGGTCTGAATCACCAAAAGCAGCCTATTAAAGTTCACTTTAATACTAATTAGGCTGTGTATAAAATTCCAAAATCAAACAAAAAGTTTTCAGGGATGGCTAAAATAATGTGTTGGTGCTTTTTTTAAGGGATTCATCAGAAAAAACATCAAAATAAGTTCAAGTGTTGGAATATTCAATCAATTTCATGTGTGTTCAAGAATAAAGGTCAGGAGAGGATTTTATTCAATGTCAAAAATCATAACAATTTATTGGATACAAATGAATAATTCGATTCACAGAATTCTGTTATCCTCAATGCAATGCAAAGGTTACATTAAGGAGGGGAGCAGCAACTTTCCTTTCCTGACTTATATAGGCAGCTGATATTAACAGGTGGAGTTTAGTGGAATTCGTCATTTGTTAATCATTGTTCAGTCCTCCATTGGCCGCACCCCAGACATAAGTCCTCTTTTTCTACGAATTCTCTGCACGACAATAAAAGCATAAAACTTTCTGTGCTCTGTGTTCATTTTAACACCTTTCTTCAGACAGGAAGTTTCTGCAGAGCTGAATTTAATTTTGGACCAGCATTTATCATCTACTTCTGCAAAAATGCTAATTAGTATGCACAGCACTCACACACACAACTGTTGAAGTTCAGTTAATATATGACCCTCACATGGCCAATACAAATAGTTGTTTGATTAAAAGAAAGAGAAACAACAAATAAAAAAATTGATTCCTACTTTCTAACACAAGGCACTCAAAAAATGTGGGAAAAAATAATAAAAAGCTTTTTTTGACATGGCTGTTCCTTAAAACTGTGGCTACATCAGGTTACACTAATGGAGTCAAGTGTTATCAAAACATGTAGGCGCAGTTTTAAAAAATAGCCATGACTATTTCCACATTTTTCAAGTGCCTAGACTGACTTTTGCTGTTTATATGTTTAATAAGGCTGTTG